AATAGAAAATAGAAAAAGAGAAAATCACCGAAGCCATAAACTGGTTCTTTGGGGAAAAATCAATAAAATCCATAAACCTCATGGTGGACACACCATAAGGTAACTTTCTAACAAGTCATGCCCTGTATAAACCCCTTCCCCTTGAGTGTGAGTAGAATCTGTGGCTTACTTCCAACCAATAGAATATTGCAAAGGTGATCATATCACTCATGTGATTATAATACATTATATAGCAAAGTTGAAGGTATTTTGTAGATGTAATTAAAGTTTTTAATCAGACTGACTTTGACTTAATCAAAAGAGAGATTATCCTGTGTGGGCCTGGCCTAAAAAGGCAAGCTCTTTAAAAGAGGGTCAAGTCCTTCCCTGATCTCAGAGACTAGAAGCAGCAGAGATCCCCTGTCTGTTGCTGGTTTTGAAGAAGAAACTGCCACGAATTCTGTAACTGCAAGGAAATAAATTCGGCCAGCAACCTGAGGAAACTTGGAAGTAGATCATTCTTTAGGGCAGCCTCCAGTTGAGAATGCAGTCTGGCTGAAACCTTGATTTCAGCTTTGTTAAACCCTGAGCACAGAACACAGCTAAATCATGCTGAGACTTCTCACCAACAGAAATAGGTAATAAATGGGTGTTGTTTTAACCTACTACATTTCTTGTGATTTGTTAAACAGTGATAGAAAATTAATACAAACTTCCAGTCAAGCTAAGCAGGAAAAAAGGGGGGGAAACACAAATTCCCAAATTATCAGGAATAAGAGAGGTAATATCACCACAGATATTGAAAAGATAATAAGGAAATGTCACTAATAATGGTATGCCAATAAACTTGACAACTTATATGAAATGGACAAATTCCTTGACATATCTAAACTAATTCAAGAAGAATTATATATAACCTGATTTGATTAGCCCCGTATGTATTAAAGAAACTGAATTTGTACTTTAAAATCTTGTCACAAAGAAAAATCTAGGATATATTTCACTGGTGAATTCTATTAGGCACTTAAGAAAGAAGTAATACCAATTCTACAAAATTCTTTCAGAAAATTGAAGATGGAGGATGCTTCCCATCTTATTTTGAGAGCAACATTGCCGAGATACCAAAACTAGGCAAAGACAGTACTAGAAAATAGCCTTCATGAATATAGACACAAACATTATAAACAAAGATTAGCAAATCAAATCCAGCACTGTATGAAAAGGATAATACATCGTAACAAGTAGGATTTATCCACAACCGAAAGTTTGCCTTATCATTTGAAAATTAATCACTGTAATTCACCATATTAACTAACTAAAAAAGAAAAACCATATTAAAGACTATATCATATTTTCTACGTCTCTATAGACATAGAAGAAGCATTTGACAGAGTCCAACATCTATTCCTGATAAAAACTTAGCAAACTATCCATAGAATTTATTGTCCCTCAACCTCATAAAGTACATCTATAAAAAATACTTAGTTAACATCATACTTAAAGGTAAAAAACTGGATGCTGTTCCCCTAAGATAATAAACAGGACAAATATGTCTGCTCTTAGCACTTGTTCTCATCATTTTACTGGCCAGTGCATTAAAACGAGAAAAAGAATAAGAGTCATCCAAGTTGGATAAGAAGTAAAACTGTCTTTATTATCAAGCCACGTGATCATCTATATAGAAAACCCTAGTGGAATCTACAAAAAGTCTATTAGAAGTAATAAGTGAATTTGGCTGGGTTTCAAGAAAAAAGATTGACATAAAAACTCAATTATATTTCTATAATCCAGCAACAAACAATGAAGAATTGAGATACTAAAAACAATACCATTTATAATAGCATCGATAAATATGAAATTCTTAGGGATAAAACTGGCAAAATATATTTAAGACTTGTACACTGAAAACTATAAAACACTGCTGAGAAAAAATTTAAAAGACCTAAATATATGAATCAGAACACTCAATATTGGTAAGATGTCAGTTCTCCCCAAATTGATCTGTAGATTGACTGAAATTCCAGTCAAACTCCCAAAGGGTGTGAAAATAGACAAGCTGATTCACAAATTTATAGGAAAATAAATAGAATAGCCAAAACAACTTTGAAAAAGAACAAAAAAAGAGGACTAGCACTATCTGATTTCAAAAGTTATTGTAAGTCTACAGTAATCAAGATAGTATGGTATTGGCATAATGACAAACAGATCAGTGGAACAGGACAGAGAATCCAGAAATGGAGCCACACATATATGGACAATTGATTTTTGACAAAGGCTCAAAGGCAATTCAGTGGATGAAGGATTGACTTTTCAATAGATGATGCTGGAACAACTTAAATACACATTCAAAAAAATGAAATTGGATGGACCCATATACAGAACTTAACTCAAATAGATCATAGATCTAAATGTAAAACTTAAAACTATAAAAATTCTAGGAGAAAATTTTTTAACTTTATGTTAGTCAAGGATTTCTTGAATATGACACTAAAAGCACAGTTCATTTAAAAAATGGCAAATTGGACTTCCTCAAAATTAAAACTTTGCTCTTTAAAAGATGTTTATAAGAGAAAGAAAAGAGAAGCCACATACTCAAAGAAAAAATTTCAAAGCATATGTCTAGTAAAGGACTTACATCTAGAATATATAAAGAACACACAAAACTCAGTGATAAAAAAAGATTTGAACAGACATTTACAGGAGACGATATACAGGTGGCAAACAATCACATGAGAAGATTTTCAACATCATTTATTCATTAGCAAAATGCAATTAAATGCAGTTAAAACCACAGCGAGATATTACTACACACTTGTTAGAACGGCTGAAATTTTAAAAACTGGCCATACCAAGGGTTGGCAAGGATGTGGAAGACTTGAACTCTCACACGCTGCTGATGGACATGTAAAATTGTACAACCATTAAGGAGATAGTTTGGCAGTTTCTCAGCAAGTCAAACATGGTCTAGCAGTTCCACTTCTAGGTATTTACTCAAAAAAAATTAAAGCATTTATCAATGCAAAGTTTTGCACATGAATGCTTATAGCAGCTTTATTTGTAATAGCCCTAAACTAGAAATAACCCAAATGTCCATCATCAGGAAAATAGTTAAACAAAATGTTATATATCCATATGATATATACTATTCAGCAATAAAAAGTGAGCTACTGATATTTGCAACAATATGGATGAATCTCAAAACAATTATGCTGAGTGAAAGAAATCAGACAAAGAAGAGTAAATACTGTATGATTCCATTCATGGAAAATTCTAGAAAATGCAGAGTAATTGATAGTGACAGAAAGTAGATCAGTATTTGCCTTGGAGATGGAATGGGGAAGAATGGTGTATTATGAGATGGCATGATAAAACTTTGGAGATGATGGCTATAATTACTATCTTGGTTGTGCTGATGGTCTCATGAGTGTATACAAATATTGAAACTTACCTAATTGTACATATTAAATATGTGCTGTTGGTTATATGTCAGTTACATGTCAATAAAGCTGTTTTAAAAAAAGATCCACATATCCAACATCTCCTGGCCCCATTTTATTGATGAGAAAATTGAGGCCTGAGGAAAAGAGAACTTTTCCAAAGTCATACCACTTGTCCAATGCAGAGGAGTTAGTGAAGCTTCTGGATAAAAATAGAGGGGCTCCTGGTAGAAAACATCTTTTTAATAAGATACACTGGTCCACTTCTCTCAGCCCATTCCCTTCTCTATGTCAAGCACTGTACCAGGCGTGCTTTATTTTCTGTTTGAAAACCTGATTTTCAAAAAGCTTCTACACAGCAAAGGGAACAACCATAAAAATGAAAAGGCAACCTGCAGAATGGGAGAAAATATTCGCAAACCATATATCTGATAAGGTGTTAATATTCAAAATATGTAAGGAACTTAACTCAGTAACAAAACAAGCAAACCATAAAAAATAGCCTGATTTAAAAATGGGAATGAATAGACATTTTTTCCAAAGAAAATATACAAATGGACAACAGGTATATATGAAAAGGTGCTCAGCATCACTAATCATCAGAAAAATGCAAGTCAAAATCACACCTGTTAGAATGGCTATTTTCAGGGCCGGCCCCATGGCGCACTAGGGAGAGTGCTGCGCTGGGAGTGCAGCGACGCTCCCGCTGCGGGTTTGGATCCTATATAGGACTGGCCGGTGCGCTCACTGGCTGAGCACTGGTCACGAAAAAGACAAAAAAAAAAAAAAAAAGAATGGCTATTTTCAAAAAAAGCAGAAGATAAGTCTTGGTGGGAATGTAAATTGGTACAGCTACTATGGAAAACAGTATGGAGTTTCCTCAAAAAAATTAAAAATAAAACTACCACATGGTCTAGCAATCCCACTTCTGGGCACTTATCCAAAGGGAATGAAGTTCGTATCTTGAAGAGATAGCTGCACTCTCATGTTCATTGCAGCACTATTCACAATAGCCAAGGTAAGGAAACAACCTAAGGGTCCAGCGATGGATGAGTGGATAAAGAAATTGTGTTCCATCCTGCTATTTGCAACAGCATGGATGAACTTGGAAGACATCATGCTAAATGAAATAAGCCAGACACAGAAAGACAAATACTGTGTGATCTCACTTATATGTGGAATCTGAAAAAGTCAAACTCTTAGAAGCAGAGAATAGAATGGTGGTTGTCAGGGCCAGGGGGTGGGGGAAATGATAGATGTTGATCAAAGGATACCAAGTTTCTATTATAAGATGAGCAAGTCCAGGGGATCTAGTGTACAACATGGGTGGTGATGGATGTATTAACTAGATTACAGTGATCATTACACACTATACGTATATCAGATCATCAGATCGTACGCCTTGAATATATTCAATCTTCGACTATTAGATATTCTTTCTAAACTGTTGGTGTCCTCAAGTGGGTTTAATTGCTTTTGAATGCCTAGGTTATTTCTTCGAAAAGTACCACCCTTACATTAGTCTTGAATTCTGTGAGGATTCAAACTAGGTATTAATTTGAATGGACTTATTTGTTGTTCTAGGTCTGAATCGTTTGCTTACCAATGGCTCCTATGAAGCTGCATTTCCCCTGCACGAGGTATTGTGCTGCCTTTAGTCTGTATCTTTCTTTCACCTTCTTGTTACTAAAATCAGCTTCTCGGGATAGTCATTAATTGAATTTGTTGATATGACATTTGTTCAGAATCAATTTAATTTGTTCAGTGCGTAATAAGGATGGGTCTACTTGCATCGTCATATCTCTCCAACAGCATAGATTTATTTCTGTTCTGTGTCCTTTTATGTAATCGCAAGAATACATAAAGAAGAGTGACTCAGAATGAATTCAGAGGAATGGCTTAGGGACTCTAAGTCATAAAGTTAAAAAGGCATTGAAAATTTGCATGAGGCACCAGACCCAGGGGGAAAATGTTCTTGAAATATATAGTCTTTGCAACAAATAGATTTATAGCTATTCCTTGAAAGAGTGGGAGAAAGCCATCTTGCAAAATCTCTGGTAACCAGAGGGTGATAAATGGAAATTAATAGTATTGGACTCATCACTGCTCACTCATCAACATATAAATGTTGATATTCTCTTTATGTACTACATGGTCTTTATCATACATAATGACTTTCATAAGTATAACTGTGATTACTCTTAACTATATTTTCCCCAATAGATCTTGGATGGTTTGACCAAGAATTCTCCTACATACGCATTTTCAGAAATATAATCTTCATGATTCTTGAGATGTTATTGTCATTTGCATGGTATTGAGCCCCTACTCCAGGTCACTGTATGACACAAAGAATACAAAGATAAATGCCATAGTCTTTGCCCTCTGGGACCTCACCAACCATCCAGGATGAAACTCCTGTTAGAGTGATCTTCAGTTTGCCGATAAACTTTGGAGGACAGTTTCAACTCACATAAATGGCAGCTCTTTCCAAACAGTTTTTGACTGTCTTACAATGTTTCTTCTCATGATTTTAAAACCAAGATGGTGTAAAAGGTGAAGCAGGATTTTTAAACTAAGCACTGTGGTCTGAGACCCTGGTTACAGATTGCTAGGAAACATTTTTGGAATGCTCCTTTTAGTATGATCGAAGCAAACATTTTGACACAAAGGTTTACTACAGCCACACACAGTCATTTCTGAACTCTAAAGACAGATTTCCCCCCAAAACATCATGTAGCTTCCTGTAGTTACTATCTGGCATTGCCCAGAAAAGGGTCGCAGTGAAAACTCAACCTCCCCACTCCCAGCCCTGACCCATGGTTAAGCAGTGTCTGAGCAATGGTAGGTGGACAGAAACCTCTGTGCAGGGGAGTGGGTGGGCACAGGGGTGTCTGGGGAGATGTAGCCACAAACCCCACAGAGTAACTCATAGCCTTCTGTGTGGCTCATATCTCAGTAAAGCCCTGTATTCTATGAGAAGAGAAATTCCAGATTAGTAATAGCAGCAGCAATAACATCATTGCTCTTTTGACTTTTTACTCTCAGTTTAACTTGATTATATTATTTAACCTCATAATAACCTACAGAGGCAGGAAGGACAGATATTGTTGCTCTTGCTTCATGTTAAAAATTTAAATAGAGATTTAAAGAAAGCTTAACTCTCCTCTAAGTCACATAGTGAGTGGAGGGTTGAGCTGAGACTAACCTGGGTTTCTTTACTCCCAGTTCTGTGCTCTTTCCACTAAGAAAGGACTTCTCAGGTTAATGTGAATAACTAGTTTGCCTCCAGAAAGTATCTTTTCTGTTTGTTAAGCTAGCATTGCCATGAACCGACCTCAGAAAAACACTTTTTCGGCCCTTGGTCTCCTCCTCATTTGTTCAATGAGCAGGTTGAATTATATTTGAATTATTAGAATTCTAAGGTGACTTCCAGCTTCTACATTCTAGACTTTTCTTGCAACAAGCAGCTGTGGCTGCTTACCAACTACTCTATCTTGAACGAAGTAGGGAAAAGAACTAAAAGTATCGGGCATGGTCTCCATAAGAGACACTTTATTCACTCAAGCCACAGAAGAAATCTAATGAGGCAGATATTATTAGTTCTATTATGGATTAGAAAACCAAGGCTCAGAACATTTAGCAGGCTTTTCCAAGTCCTCCTAACTAAAAAGTAGCAGAACTGAATTTGAACTCAGTTCAAACCTGCCTGATTCCAACAATCACACACTTTTTTACTAAACATCATCATCAGCAGGACAATGTACAGAATAACTAATGAAACTGCCTTCCCTTTAATAGAGAGGATCCTTTTTTTTATCCCCCTCGTATCACCCCTATTGCTACTCCTGCTGTAAGAGATTAGTATTACCTTCAGTGTTTCCTTATGTCTTTTGTGGGTATTACCTCACTGGCAGTGGTGTTTTCATCCCAGGGAAGTTACAGAAGTAAAAACTCCATTCGAACCCATGGAGCAGAAAACCACCGACATCTACTCTATGAATGCTGGGCCTCCTGGGGCGTGTGGTATAAATATCAGCCTTTGGATCTTGTAAGGTGAGTTTTTAACCAGCTGCAAATAGAAAGCTTGCACAGAGCGATTAGGGCAGACTGTCAGCTAGGACAAGCCATCACTGGAGAAAAAAGGGTCTGAAATGCACAGCTCTTGCTCAAATTTGGCTTTGCAGAATCATCCTCATTAAAGGACGTTGGTCTTTCTTGCTAAATCTGCCATTCCTTTGATAAGGACAGTGTCTCCTCCAAAAGGGCCTTAGGGAGGGGCCCAGGAAGGGGCATGTGAGTTTAGCCAGGCCTCCCTCAAGACTCCATAAGGAGCAGGTCGCCCACATGGCTCTGACAAATCCTCCTGTAGAAAGGTAACGCTGCTTACGTATATTAGTAATGAAATGGAATATTAATTACCATTATGCAAATAGGGCATATGAGGTACTGTTATTCCAGTACATTTCCGTCTTATTTTAATTTTCATTTAAATCTAATAACCTTTAAAGATCGTTTTAATCTGCAGGTCAAAAAGTATGTCAGCTTTTAACCTACGATCATTGTGCTGTGAAAACATATGTTTTTTAACTATCTGTATCTGCTCAACCTTCTGCCATGGCAGTATTATACTCTGACATCTCATTATTTATTTAGAGACTAGTTATTAAGATTGAGTGATAACAATCCATACTTCATAGATTCCTTATTAAAAAGAAAGTCATGTCTCATTTCCTCGACTAGCTGGATACATTTCATTTGAGCCAGGGCTCTGAAAAAATGAGCCCAAAGGGCAGAAAAAAAGACAACTCACTTTATATTTCAAACCCCTGGGTAGTCTTTTCCCACCAGAGCCTGTTACCTTGTTACCAAGTGTTTACTCCCCATTGTTCCAAGGACATTGACGAACTGTGTCCCATTGTGTGTATTGGTAACATATAATACAGATGATCTGGGTGAGTGGAAAATATTTCCTGATATGAGATTATTTGTCTTTGACCAGACTCACTGCATGATAAAGGGGGGTGAGGGGAAGTAAATTCTCTCCCAGCCTCAGTTTCATATTACAGGATTACACTGATTAAAAATTACAGATAATTGCTGCAGGCAAAACATCTCTTGTCTATGACAGTGTTTTGATTAAGACTTTGCAGTTAGTCAGTGAGTATTAATTAACTGCCCATTGTGTTTCTAGAACTGTGCTAAGTACTATTGGCAAAGACAAACTATTGGCATTGAGAAACTCAGTTTCTTTTAGGAACAGAGGCTCTGCATACTTGAGACAACTAGAAAAATAATACAAGACTATACATGATCAGGTAAAATGTGTGACAGAGGCCATAGTTTTTTCAACAATTCAGAAAAACTGAGAAAGATGGATGTGAGTCAGCACCCTTGTGGAAGTCTCTGCAGAGCTGATCCCTGGAAAAGCAGCAGGATTTGTGCTGGCCAAAAGGACAGGGGATGCAAAGCACAACCAAGCCTCGAGTAGAAAGTTGTGCAGCTTCTAGGGAATCTCATCTCTTAAATAGTTCTTGTCCTGTAGATTTTACATCCTCCATATTTCTTGAATCTGGCCACACCCCAGCATCTCACCATCTCTGCCACTCCCGCTGTCTTGATTGTTACCTAGACTGTGACAGCTGTCTGCTCCTCCTTGGTCTCCCTTTTCCCACTCTGGCCTCTTTCAATGCATTCTGTGTTCACAGAATAAGCTTGTGTATAATCATATGCTTTTATTGACGGGCTAATTTTATTTCTGCTATAGAGTAGTAGGAGGAGAAATTTAAGCCCAGAGCCTAGATTTGTTCAAATGTTCCATTCTCTTCGCTTACCTCGTCTGCATTTTACCAAGAAGGCCACTACAGAGTAAAAGGATGGAACAGAGTGTTATAATGCTTACCTTTGCATACTTCACTGTAATTTGCAAGGCTGCTGTGTCTTAAACAGGAGGTACTTTGGAGAGAAGATCGGGCTGTATTTTGCCTGGCTGGGCTGGTACACCGGCATGCTCTTCCCAGCTGCCTTCATTGGATTGTTTGTCTTCTTGTACGGAGTCACCACTCTGGATCACTGCCAAGTCAGGTACGGGCAGCTCTAGGGTGAGTCTGCCTTCGCTTAGTGTTTAGAGATGGCTGTCTGTGCTTTGGGGGTGTTCACTGACTGTGGTTACACTTAGCTTTTCACTCTTTCTTCTCAATCTCTCATGGAACAATTCGAAAGGTTCGATTCACTAGGTCATCTTCATCCATTGCCCTTGCCACTGTGGTCTTCAGCTACCATGGAAGCCAAAGTTACATTCACAGACATCCAAGCCACTATGCATCCACAGAACAAATCACTATCATTCACTCATTGAGTGCTCTTTCTCTGGTATTTTCACTTTCTTTCACTTGATACTGCAAAATAGTGAGCTAACAATTCTTTTTATGAATACTATGCTTTTACAAGAACGCTTTATGCCCAGGCTAGAAAGACATCTCATGAATGTGCTAGTGCTTTGGGAATGGTTCAAAACTGACAAATGTTATCTTGTTTTCAAACCAGAATATAGTATGAGGTATTCATAGGGATTTTATTGCAAGGCTGGGCAAAGATCTTAAATAGTAAATGTGCCTTTTAAAACTTATTGCAAAAATAAAAGTGAGTGATTGAGCCTCCCACCTACAAAAATATTTTACTTCCTGGTGAAATGTAGTTTTCTCCCAGGACAGGACTAAATACCCTAGTTATTTTTAATTATTGCTCCATTATTAGTTTTAGCATATCATGCACATAGAGATAGAGGCAGGCATTTTTAGATATTTTGTTGTTCTAATAATTCAGTATGAAATTGCTTTAGACCTGTGAAATGTCTTGAAGGATTTTTGTATAATTTGGAGTATAACAACCAATGTTTTGCTTCATATATTTTCCTGAATTTAACTTATTAATATGTAAAGCCAAGGAACAGCATCGTAAATAAGTAGGTTTATCAGATTATTAAAATGTGAAAGAACTTGTTTACATTAATAACAGATAAGCCTTAGAATTTTCTGAGAGCAAAAGTTTAATCTACTAGGTTTTATTTACTAGTTGAACATTCTGGTGAAGCCGGAGGGAAAAAAATGTTACATATCATCAAAAAGCAGTCCTTTTCTGTTTTCTTTTTCAGTAAAGAAGTCTGCCAAGCTACAGATATCATCATGTGTCCTGTGTGTGATAAATACTGTCCATTCATGAGGCTGTCAGACAGCTGTGTTTATGCCAAGGTAATTTCAAATATGCAGCTTTTTAGGTGGATTGAATTTAACATACACCTTCCTGAGGGATGGTGGGTAACTGTAATCTTTTTGTCATTTCCAGTCTTTGATTCTCAAGTTAATGTTGTGGCATGGACTTACCTTTATCAATCAGTATTGTAATGCAAATATCTTTTTTAATATATATGTATTTAAAAGATATGGCTCTAGATACCTTCACAAGAAGTTGCAGCATGGTACAATGCAAAGAGCACAGTTGTTAGAATTAGAGAAAGTTAAGTTCAAATTCTGACTCTGCATTTACCACTTGTCTGTGTGGGAACAAGTTATTTAACTTCCCTGAGCCTCAGTTTTCTCATCTGTAGAACATGATGCTTGTTTGACGTGATTGTTATAAGTGAGATAAGATATGTATTGAGCACAGTACTTAGCAAATGGTAAGATCTCAGTTAATGACAGCTACTGTCATTTTCTTCCTCTTTATCATTGTTATTGTCAAAAAGACCTTGGTTCAAGGCTAGCTCAGCTACTCACCTCCTTGACCTTACACAGGTGCGGTCTTTCTGAGACTGAGTTTTCTCATCTTGAAAATGCAGGCAATTCGTCCTGTCTGGGTAACTACCAACAGGTTGTTAGCGATGTCTGCTTATGAATATATACCCATTCTACACAGCACTGCACAGTCATAAACTTCTGAATTTCATATAGTATGTTTTCATTTAAGTTTTTTTCTATAAAATAAAATATTTGTTAAAATAAGTAGTATAAATACATTGCTAAATTTTAAGACGTCCATAGTCTATAAAATTAAAGATAGAATGTTAGAGTAAGATTTAAATGAACATAATTTTCTAGATACTATAACTTTGACAGTTAAGTTTACCATTATCTATTTTATTTAATCCTACTTTTTTGGTTTTAGATAATAAACTTCTTTCATTTGTGATGCTTCACATGCTGAAAATTCTTTGGATTGTACTCGGTTTCTTAAAAGTAGCACTGCAGTGTTAACTTAGCTCGAATCTTGTGATATGAGACTGTGCCTTGCTTTTCTGTTGGTATTCACATCTCACTTTACCATCTTGTACAAAGGAAAAATTGCTTTCACTTTAATTATCTTCTTTCTCTACTTTTCTTTTTTCGTTTTTTTATTTAAAAGTTTTATTTGTTATTAGCATATTCATTAGGTGGCAAAAAATGTCACACAGTAGAGATATCATTTCACAAGTAATCTGTATATAATCTGATTGTTGTGGAAGGTGAAAAAAACCTTGTTGAATTTTTTAAATTATAAAAATAAGACATTGCCTGAAATTACTTCTTATTGACTAAAACCTTTGGCTTGTTAAAAATAAAATTTTGGTACAAGTAGTGAAAAATATATATTTATGATTGCACAATGTCTTTCAATGCATTTGAAAAAGTCATTCGTATTTATTGTCATATTATTTTCCTTAAGAAAAAAAAGTTGCCATTTCATAGCTCTGCAAATACCACATAATGCCACCAATGTTTTTTAATTTCAATAATAAAAACATTAAAATAAAAAAATAAATAAAATAAAATAAAATGCAGGCAACGCTGCCCCACCCTACTGGCATGTCCTAAGGACTGAAGAAGAAAGTGTATATGAAAGTACTTTGAAAAAAACAAATACATGGCACCATTATTTCTATCACATGTTATTACATGCCCCTTTCTCATGGTATATCTTAATTTACTAAAAGTATTAGACACGTTCATCAAATTCCTAGAGTTTTTTTTACATAGGGGCCGAGTCACTAATGCAAAACAATAGCTGGAGTGTGGGTTGATGAAGATTTTTCCAAGACCCACTTCCTATTGGTTTGCCCAGATTCCAAGTATAAAATGAGTTGGCAGATTTTATTGAACATCTGTAATTACTGCAGCCAGGATCTATCTAACTACTCTGTTGGCATTGCAGAGTTTTGTTTTAAATGAGAGCACATTTGCTAGGCAGTCGAGGAGCCCGCCTCTCCATAAAGTCTTAGCACTGCAGGTGGCCAGTCCATGAGGGAAGAGCCCAAGTCGCAGAAGTGATCTGTGATTTTAGAGAGATTTGGGCTCTTAGTATGTGTTGCAAGGGACCAACAAGTGAAAATTCTGTCCCTATCTTTGGAGAACATACAGATAGACCCGAGTACATGAGGACAAATTTAAGAGTGACCTCTGGAAACAGAGATTTGGTGAGGATCAAGAGTTTCGTAAGTAATATAATTTTAAAGGTCATGAAATGAGCCTGAACAACTAAAGGGACTGGGGTAGCTCACACTATGCGAGCACAAAGCCCTCCAGGCCCCCCAGTGTCTCTCTCTGCCCACCTGTGTACGTGATCATTTTGCAGACAGGTTCTCTTCACACAATGGGGAAGGAGGCTGCTGACTGCCTTGGTTCCAGGCTTATATCTTTCTTCCTTTAGCCCCTTAAGCATATTTTTAGGCTTATTTTAAACTCTTGGTGTACTGTGATGGAATGTGTGCTATTTCAGAAATGTATGTTGCCCTAGTTGGGAATTTTTGTGGGGGAGTGGAGAAGGAATTGTCTTCCCAGATATTTTGTTATTGAGGCAGGGCCCAGGTCTGTAAGTCCTGGTGAGTAACAGAGAGAGCAGGACAATGTGCCCTAGGTTCCACTACACGGGGGCTTCAAAAAGGTCATGGAAAGAATGATATTATGTTTCAATTCTGTTTTTCCACAAGCTTTGTAAGGTACCCTCGTATGTGCTACCATGCTACCAGAGGACTTCTCTGCTCAGAGTTTCATTTTTAGACCTGCTTCATACAAAGCAATTTTGGGAGGAGGCACTCTCCCTTGATTGTAATGTGCCAGCCCTGGGGTTTAGAGGCATGGACTGGGGAGTGACTGCTCCAGGGCAGCTGGCCAGGCAGCACCTACTTTCATCAATGCCTCAGCCAAGCAGGACTCTGAACGTCCCTTGGTATTAACCCAAGAATACTACCCCCTGTAATTTGGCCTGCTGTAGCTGATTTCTGAGGGAGGGAAATTAATTGTCCAATGACCATTTGAGGGAAAGGCTGGAGTAGAGCTATCTGTCCCCACACGCCACCACCATCACAGACACACACATGCACACACACACATGCAGCACACACATACATGCATCAATTTAAGGCAACCTTCTGTCTCCCCTGGAGTTTCTCAGGGTCTTTGTTTGGTTTTTGTGTTTTGTGATTTCCTGGAACCTACTGTCATGCTTCTCTAAGGTTGATTTTGGCAGAGTGTACCATCAGCCTTAGCTAGCTTACCATCTTATTAGGAACCCGAAGTCCCTATCAGCTCACCCCTCCTGATTCACATACTCCCAAATGGATAACTGCGGCAGAAAATGGCCCCTCTCCAAATGTTTGCATATCGGTCCCAGAGAAGGACTCTTGTTCTATTTTGAGCCATGAGCCCGTTGGGGCCAGCATGAAAGAGATGTTACCTGGAGAAAGGAGAATGGAGGAAGGATGATCTGGACAACCAAAAACAGTGACAACCGCAATCCATTCCAGAAGGTACACTAATGATGCAAGCTACAACTTCCACCAGCTCCCAGTAAATACCCCGATAGAGGGTGCAGACCAACCTCAGACCACTGGAACTTTCAAGCTTGACTTAATGACAAGTGCTCAGTAGTGTATACAGCTTGATACTCCCTCTGGCATATGAGACAAATAAGTTTTAGATGTTTGTCTCACATTAGGTGTTTGAATACTGCCTATCTCTCCTATATCCAAAGAAAGAGAAGGCATAAGCTTTTCGCATAATCTGAAATACTTCACACTGTGATATAACAGCAAAAGCCCTGTTTATACTTGGCACATTCTCCAAGGGACAGTAAAGTATACTTTATAGGGAACTATAAAGTACCAAAAAAAGGTTATGCTTTATGAACCTATCAGTCATCATTTTGATTTGGCATGGATATTGGTGTGATTTATACTGCAGGTGAAAATGAATTTGGCAGTTTTGAGATAAGAATAGATAATTTTGCTTTCTGCTCTGGTGTTTGCAACAGTATATATTATTCTAGTGATAAAGTGTTGCTAGCTGTCATTATGTCATGTGCAGTAGGTAAATATAGTGATTACCTGAGGCTTTAATAAAGGTGGAAGTGTATTTTGTTAATCCTCTGTTCTCTCTCCTTTATAATGCTGAAATCCAGAAGGCAGCCCAGAAAATGTTTGCTCACAACTACACAGACAAAATGGCCATGTTTCCAAAGTGAATAAATGAGTCATTAAAAACAACTGCTGGAAATCTTTAAAGCACTAACAATAATACCTTCCTGGTCCTATAAATAATTATACCCAAATACATACGTACATGTATAAGAGTTTTTATAGTACACAAAAGGGAATTTTTAGTAGCACTATTGGGGCTGCTGATAAATGTTCAACTAAGTGATACCAACATAAAGGGAACAAATTCTCTCTTCCATTTCTGAACTATTTCACAGTTACAGGAACCCTCTTCTTACTTACGGTCCAAAAGGAATATCCCCCAAAGAAATCCTGCAAAACTTATTGTATCATCACAGCTATTTTTACAAAATTTTAAGGAAATGTGACTTGAAATATCATCTGTGAGAAATTAGCTTAACTCTGATTTGTGTTATTCCCAGGTAACCCACCTTTTTGACAATGGAGCCACTGTCTTCTTTGCTGTTTTCATGGCAGTCTGGGGTAAGTGTTCTGCAGCCGTAAAACTTGCATTCCCCTCATATGCCCCATCAAATACTCCTTCAGAAGTCTCACTTTGGATGTGAAAAGGTGAGTAAATTGAGTTGTCTGTTCTGTTAGCAACAAGCTTGTAAATAGTTTATTTGGTTTATTTTAAAAACAATATTTGAGAGGAGAAATGTCTGAATTCTCTTCTCTTAAACCTTCAACAATCTCATCAGCACTCCATTATTAAAATAAAATTGACCTTCTGTTGGAGACAAAAATAAAGCTTATTGTACATCAAAAGGTCTGGGGAGAACCAATTACCAATCTCGATACATAGAGGACTTTTTTTTTTTTCGTTAAATTTTTATTTTGTCAATATACACTGTATATGATTATTATGGCCCATCACCGACACCTCCCTCCCTCCTCCCTCTCTCCCCTCCCCCCCAAGAATGTCCTTTCCGTTTGCTTGTTGTAACAACTTCATAAAAGTATAGTTGTTATATCTTCTCCCCCCCCCGGTTTTTTTTTGTGTGTGTATGTGGGTGAATTAATTTATTTGTTTTTTTAGCTCCCACCAATGAGTGAGAACATGTGGAATTTCTTTTTCTCTGCCTGACTCGTTTCACTCAATATTATTCTCTCAAGGTCCATCCATGTTGTTGCAAATGGCAGTATTTCATTCGTTTTTATAGCTGAGTAGTATTCCATTGTGTAGATATACCACATTTTCCGTATCCACTCATCCGATGATGGACATTTGGGCTGATTCCAGCTCTTGGCTATTGTGAAGAGTGCTGCAATGAACATTGGGAAACAGGTATACCTTCGACTTGATGATTTCCATTCCTTTGGATATATTCCCAGCAGTGGGATAGCTGGGTCGTATGGTAGATCTATCTTCAGCTGTTTGAGGAACCTCCAAACCATTTTCCATAGGGGTTGCACCATTTTGCATTCCCACCAACAATGTATGAGAGTTCCTTTTTCTCCGCAACCACGCCAGCATTTATCTTTCAGCGTCTTTAGGACTTTCTAATATGAGTGGCTAAGGTGTGTATACCTACCTCTGGCTTTCTTCCAGCTCTGGACAAAATGACCCCCTAAAACAAGAGCTACTTATAGGACTGAACTGAGTCTTTCAATACCTTTCAAGCTAATAGACCCATCGCACAAGATGGGATGGAAACACTCAAATCTGTGGAAGCAGCAGGACTGGGTTAAAATCCCATCTCCTCTCCTTACTAGGTTGTGCCATTTCATGCAAGTTGCTTGACCCACCTCTTTGTAAAATGGGTTTAATAATATCTAAGTTGTCAAATAATTATAAAGCTTTAATTTAATGGTATAGAAAAAAGTCTGGACAGATGCATAGTAAACGGTTAATGGTGGTTACCTTTGGAGAGGAAGATTTGTAGAAGCATAAGTGAACAGCGATGAGAGACAGGCTTTTTACACTATATTCAGTTTGGTTTGAATTTTTACATTGATTATGCGTTTCTCCTATAACTTAAAATGCCAGAATCTGAATTTTGAAGTTACAAAACTCTAACTTTAAGCTTAAGCTTATCTTGTTCCTTATGTCTGGAATGAATGTTGAAATCTTCCCCATCTTTCAGGGCCCAGCTGAGATTTCATCTACTCCAGCCAGAATTTGGTTTCCTCCTTTGAACTTCCATAACATTTGCTTTCTGTCTTAGGGCACTTATAATTATTTGCTTACACGACTCATCTCCCCTGATATAATTATGGTCCTCAGGGACCATTAAGGTCATTGGAGATTTCATGCATTTCTTTTGGGGATACAGGGATTCAATGTGTATTTGTTGTGTGGATAGATGGAAGGAAAGAAGAAAAGAGAGAAGGGGAAAGAGAAATAAATTACCAAAATGATTTATTTATGATACAGTGAATGCATTTAAATGGTCTTTTTTGATAAGTGTAAATATAAAACCTAGTTCTCCTGAGGAGGCTTGTTGTAGATATATTATATTCCCCACATAGAGGTCATCAATGGAAAATTGTCCCACCCACCACAGCTCTGTTGAAGGGACATGTTTTGAGCTCTGTAATTCCATCCCCTCTCAGCCAGTAGGCTTTTGACTCAGGATCAGTCAAACCACAGGTTGGTGAGTGGCCTGGGAGAAAGCCTGAGATCTGCCCAGACAGGAACTAGTAGTGCCCCCACCCTGATTCTTATTCTCAAGAACGTAGACTGGGAAATGTGGAGAGAGATAGGGAGTTAGCACCAGGAACTGACTGAAAGATGCATAGAGGAAAGGAGTAGGGGAGGAAGAGAGAGAGAGAGATTGAGGTTGACCAGGTAGAAGTAGGGACCAGGGGGAATTATGAAGAAGCTGAAGTTATGAGAATCAGAACCTAAAAATAGGCAGAAGCAAAGACATAGTGGAAAAATATAGAATAGAGGATGCAGAAGCCAATTGGCAGCCAACTGGGAGAAAATGTAAGACAGTTCCCCAAAAGAAGCAAAGATAAAATGTAGCCAAGTCACATTATTAGTGGAGTATCAGGATGAAGACTCAGAGTCTCTTGTGGCTGAGGGCTCTCAAGCTGCTTGCTTCCATATCCTATCTCCGAATAGGCCCAGTCTTTATTTCTATTGGATTCCTACCTCTTTGGTGGACCTTGTAAAAAGCTATCACTATTTGTGCTACCCTTTATGCATTTCTGTCCCTTGCACATGACGGAAGCTAACCGTAACAGAATCTTAGTTACAAGACTGAGCTCTCAGATCAAGAATGTGTGTATCTGGTTTTTCTAGAACATACTAGTATCAGTAACCATGATCAGGAAATATAGTAAGCCATCCAGTGTTTAAGTTTTGCCGTGGTTACAAATGAAGGACTTTGGAAAATTTATTATTATTATTTTTTGACCGGTAAGGGGATCGCAACCCTCGGCATGGTGTTGTCTACACCACGCTCAGCCAGTGAGCGCACCGGCCATCCCTATATAGGATCCAAACCCGCAGCCTTGGCGCTACCAGTGCCGCACTCTCCCAAGTGAGCCACTAGGCCGGCCCTTTGGAAAATTTCTTAAGCCAGTGATTCCCAAACTTTTTCAGGTCACAGCACACAGAGAAAATGAAAATGTTTGCACAGCCTACTGATGTACATGGAAGAGCCTGCTCAGGGCCAGGGATGGTTGCCCTAAGCGCCCTAGCCCCAGCAGCCCCAAGGGCTGAAGGGATGATGAGGGTGATGATGGTGATGATGATGATTGGCATACTAATTCGGAAGCTCTGCTTGGGCTACTAAATCTACTGTGTAATGAGTTAATGCCTCTTTATAGAGAGTGGTATCCTCATCATATTCTGAAAGAATTAAAACAGAAAATTCCCTTACTCCTTTTAGTATTCTACTAGTTTTAGATATAGTTGGGCTGAAATAATGGCTTCTTCTCCCACAGTTTACCCCCTGAGACTGTATATAAGTACAATCTTGATGTAACGACATTTGTCTGTAAGGCAGAGGTTGTCATCTCTCCCCCGGTACCACCATTGTAAAAGGAATCACATCCCTTCTTTGCAAGTTGGAATGTCTACGCCATGGGTAACAAATAGGTTTTATTTTATCTCCTTTCCAACCTCAGCTGATTGGTGGTGGCTGCCTGGAACACAGAGTTGAGAAGCTTCTGAGGTGGCACGTGGGTGGATTAGAGATTTGACAGCCCTTGTGCTTTGAAGTACACTCAGTAAGATCCTGATAGATGTTTGGTAATAAACTTTGGGAACAAAGAAACATTTTAGGGCCACTCCAGGTAAGGCAAGCCTGGAATAGTTCACCTTCTGAATTACTTTGTCTTAGTTGGCAACTTATTGTTTAAATTTTGTTTTATTCCAAGAAATGTGCTAGTTTGAGAAAAAGAATGATTTACTCCAGGTGTTTCTTTGTAGATAGGGATATGGCTTTTGTAGAGATCTGAAATAGACAATAGTAACAATTAAAATAATAGCATACATTTATTGAGTGCTTACTGTGTGCTGAACACTGTCCCAATTTTACATGTATCATCTCATTCAATCTCTACAGCAACCTTTATAAATATGTACTATTATTATCCTCAGGTGGTAGCTAAGGAAACTTAGGCAGTAGCCAGAAAGTGGCGAAGACAGGAGTCAAACCCCGCAGTTTTATTAGCTCCTCTACTCTACTGCTAGGATCAGGAACTGCTTGTAATCATTTGCTTCTGCTTTGGAGACCTGAACTTAAGATAAAGGATTTATTCTCATCCTGAGCCCCATTTATACTGCTTCAAGGTGGTGATGTTCTATAAAAGCATGTCAGCTCTAATGGAGCTCAGTTTAATGGTCTCAGGATCACCTCTTATGATTGACAAGTTACAACATTTAAGAAAACAAATGCACTCTATTTTCAGGAAATTGCTAGATACAGAGATGATGAGAACAGATGTAAGTGGTTCTCAAGACCTCTTAAGGGACAGGGTTGATGTATTTGTTTTGTTGCCTTTTGCTTTGTGTGTTCACAGAGAAACAATAAGGTTCCATTTGTCACCAGTTTGTAGCAGCTGGGGCAGACCTCTGTGTTGGGATGAATATTTTTACAGAACTCCACTGCCTTCATTCATGTTCACACATGTGTGATAGCAGGGCACCCTGGGGACCCTTGAGTTATACTGCGAGCTGAGGGCTCTGGGCTTGAACTGCTACTGTGACTCTATCATCAATGCTCATTTTTGTTCAGAAAGATTCAAGGGACTGTATAATTATGGACCAAATTAGCTTCTCTCCTTAGGAAAAAAAAAATGAGTCATTAGGGAATGTGATGTTGGCAGAGACTTGTCAGGAAGCAGATTATCTCCCTCTGTTCTTTATTTCTGATTCTTATTTTTTTTCTCCCTCCTTTTTTTTTCACTTTCAGTGTTGCCAAAAATTAATTATCCCCAGTAAACAAACAAAGCAAGGTCCTCAGAGCTCTCCAGTCAAAATGACAAGATTGTGGTTATTGTAGTGCAAATTCAAAGATTCTATATGA